GGTTTCCCCCCTCCGCAGACTGCTCGGAGCTCGAGGCGGCGCAGAAGTTCCTGGAGCAGGCGGCCATCGAGAACCTGGTGAGCGCTCGGGGCGGTCCCGGCGGCGGCGGAGCCGGCGGCGGCGGCGGGGCCGGCGCTGCCCCGAGCGCTCCGCGGCCCCGCCCGGCTCGGCCCGGCCCGGCCCGGCCGCCATGGCCGCTGCCGCCCCTGCCCGCGCCCGGCGGCCGCGCGGGCCAATCACGGCGCGGCTTGCGGGCCCGGCGGCCAATCAGCGCGCGGCGCCGGGCCGGGGGGCGGGGCCGGTGCGGGAGCGGCCGCGGGCCATGTGCGGCCGCCGCGGCCATCGCGGCCCCGGGCGCCGCCCGGTCCTAAAGCCCGGCCGCCCGCGGGGACCCCCGGACGGCCCCAGCCCCCACCTCCAGCACCCGCGGCACCCCCGGACCGTCCTGGTGCCCGCCGCACCCCCGCCCAGCCCGACCTCCCGGTGCCGGCGTCCGCGGGACGCCCGGCCGGTTGTAGCGCCCGCTCCTCCGGGGCGCTCTCCCCGCTGTGCTGTCCGCGGGATCCCTGCCCAGCCCCGCTGGCCTGTGCTGCTGGCCGGTGCTGCTGCCTGTGGGACCCCCGCCCAGCCCTGCTGCCCAGTCTCAGTGTCCTCGGGAGCCCTGTGCGGTCCTGCTGCCCGGTGCACCGGGAGCCCCGCATCCCCCGGAGAGCCGGGCCCGGGCGGGATCGCAGCTCCGGGAGCTGGGGAGGGGCTCAGGGATGTGTGGTGGGGGAGGGAGGCTCGGCTGGGCAGGGGGAGTTGTACCCGCGCTGACCTTAAATCCGAGCAGGAAAAGAAGTCAGAAAAAAGCAACGGAAGGGGGAACAAAAAGCCCAAAAATCCCCGGGTGCGATGGCGGGGCCGGAGCGGGGGCTTGGGGCTGCTGCTGCTTCAGAAGGGATTTTGCTTAGTCAAGCTCTGGGGCTGCAGCTCTGGCTGCTCCCCGCAGGGATGGGGAGCACTGGGGGGTGCCGAGTCCCGGTGTCCCGGTGCTGTCCTTGTCACAGCCCCGTTGGCACCCCAAAAACCGGCACCGGTCACCCCCCAGCTCCTCCTCTGCTCCCCGGGCCTGCTGGGGAAGAAGCCACGGAGGTTCTGTGTTTGTGGTGCTGGTGGAAGGAGGGTGAGGATCCCTCGGGATTGATGCTGGACCTCTCCGTTTGGAGGGGAAAATCCTCTGGGTTGGTGTTTTTGGGGGGCTCAGGACCACCCCAAGCTGTGCCTGGAGCTGCAGGGCTGAGCT